CATTTTCCTTTTTTTTTTTTTTTTTTTGGTCTTCCCTTCTTTTTTTTCTGAACTTTTTGTATAAGTACTTACAATACTACAACAAGAATTCTAGATTTGAAAACTAGGCGGATCTACCATGTACGCTACAGGTTCACGTGAATTTACTATTATTTTTGTCCAAACCTTATATATATTAAGAAATTTATTAAACTTGTATAAATATTTAACTGCAAACTTAGTTATTACTTGTATATCATAAACTTCAAATTCTGAATCAGTCTCTCCATTTCAAACCCATAGCCAGCAAGAGGTCAAGGGTATTGATCGATATTTACTATTTCAATTATATTAGTAAGAAAAAACTAACAGTAACGCGGCATAGCAGCTATTAGTGACCAAAAATAGTTTTTCCACTCTTACCATCTACGTGTTTCCTTGCCTATAAATTAAGTCACTTAGGCATTCCTTTTCCATCATCTTCATTTCTACTTAGCCAAAATCATTCTGAATTTCTTGATAGTATAATACATCGTCTCTAAATGAATACTCCAACTCAATCTTTCGCAGCTATATTTTCTCTTCTTCTGCTTTCATGCATGCAATGCCATGCACAACTTTCGGCGACGTTCTATGATAATACTTGCCCTAATGCACTCAACACGATTCGTACCAGCATCAGGCAAGCAATTTCAAGTGAACGTCGCATGGCTGCTTCGCTCATTCGCCTTCATTTTCATGATTGCTTTGTTCAGGTTAATTTAAAGATTATTCGTAAATTATTTTTATTTTTCATGTATTTTAAAGTCAATTAATTAATAGTCGAAATGGTGTTATATTGGACGTCAATTTAGGGTTGTGATGCTTCGATCTTACTTGATGAGACCCCTTCGATCGAAAGTGAAAAGACTGCATTGCCAAATCTTGGGTCCGCAAGAGGTTTTGGAATCATAGAAGATGCAAAGAGAGAGGTGGAAAAGATTTGTCCCGAGGTGGTTTCATGTGCTGACATACTAACTGTTGCAGCTCGCGATGCATCAGCAGCTGTAAGTTCATATAATTTGTTTCTTAGAAGGAGTGTGTGTATATGTATATATATATATATATATATATAGATATACAGTCAAACCTCTCTGTTACAATATCCTTATATAACAGTCATTCACTATAAAATCTAATTTTTTTCTTGGAACCAATTATCATGTTATATTAGAATATATGTCCTCTATAATAGCACTTCACTATAGCAGCCAAAAAATATCGGAACAAACAAGACAGTTATAAAGAGGTTTGATTGTATATATAAATTCTAGACTACAATGAATAGAACAAGATATATT